GAAGAATATTCTATATAACTAAGTAATTATAGTTAGTAATAATAACTAAATAAATAATAAGCTAAAAGTAGAGTAGCTAAAGTACTTTAATACTTATATAAAAACTTACGTTATTAGTGTATATTACTTACTTATTCTTAATAGCTATAAGAGCTACTACTTTCTTAAGTTTTAAAAGTTCTATAAGAAGAATAATATCTATATACTTTATATACTACTTTACTTATTCTATTTACTATAGCCTTTTAATATTAGCTACTTCTTACTATTAAAGCGCGCGTATAGCTATAAGATTAAGATACTAATTTACTACTATATTAACTATATTACTAAGCTTAAGTTTCTACTAGCCTTTAAGGTAGTCTTTAATTAATTCTTTATATTAGCTAATCTCTACTTAGCTTTTTAAGATATAGGCCTTATTTCTCTCTAGCTAGACGTTATTCTATTAAAGCTAGACGTGTAGCTCTATACGCCTACTCTAGCTACTCTACTAGAAGCTCTCTAGAAGGCTTATACGCTAAGTAATATATAAGAGCTTAAGGCTTAATTAATATTAATATATAATCGCGTTTAGTAGTATAAGAGCTTATTACCTATCTCTATTATTAAAGTAATTAATTAGCTTAAGAAAGAGGCTAAGGTTATAATACTCTTAGCTAAGCTAATGCGCGATTAGATTACTAATCTTAAGTAAGCTAATAAGGTAGCGTTAGCGCGTAAATAACGTAAGAAAAAGCGTATATAGAAGCAAGAGACCTTAACAAAGAGAGAGAGAGAGAATATACTTACTTAACGCGAGGTTAAGTAGTAGATTTCTTATAAAGAGTGTTAAGAAGAAGCGTAATTAGGCCTTAGCTGCTAGGCTTTAGCACGTTGCACAAGGTGCAGAGAGACTAGCTATAACTTACGTACATGTAAGAAAGATACTTAAGATACTAACGTACTTTATAAGCAAGTAGGCTATACAAGCATGTAGACTACTTTCGCTAAGACCCTACTAAAATTAGTACTATATACGATAGTGCAGAACCGTATAGCACTATAATTAGAAATCTTAATATACTATTCTACTTAGAATCTACTACTGCATCTTGCTTGCATATGCGCAAGTTGTATCCTGCCTTACTGCAGCGTTTACAGCGTCTTTGTAATAGTTCGCCTACTTTAACGCGTGCTCTCTTCTTTACCTTCTTTCTATTACTACGCACTCTAAACTCCTTTAGAGTCGTTAGTTAAAGACTGTCTTTAATAGTAAGAGTCTCTTCTTTCTATACTCGCTTTCTTTTGTGCGATTTTTATTACGTAGCAGCCTTATTTGCTACTTAAAGCTTAGCAATCTTCTTCTACGCTAATATAAGCTTGTGCGCAACTATAGCTGCACCTTTTAAGACCTTTTTAAAGGCCTTAACTATTAAAGTTAGCGAGCTATCTATATATCTCTAAATTCTCTCTTAAATTAGCTTTAACTGCGACCTAAATTCTAGGGTATTACTTAGAGTTTGTAACTACTAGGGACTGTCTTTAATAGTAGGTACTAGTAGAGTACGCAGGCGCACGTTAAGCGTCGATACTACAGCCTCTAGATTAAATAGAACTAAGCTAGCGCCTTAGAAGCCTTCTAGGATATTACTCTTTGTAATAGCTACTTTATAAGTAGTAACAAAGAATAGCAAGAACAAGGTTTTGTTAATATAGTTAACGTTATTGCGCATTAGAGCCTTAGCTTAGCATCTATACGCTCTCTTTAGTAGCGCAAAACAGCTAATATTAAGAGGCTATAGAAGGTGCGATAAGTAAGAAGGCATGCAAAGAGTAATAATGTTATTCTCTTTATAGTACTGCTAGAAATTAAGTAAGTTATAGCTCTTATAGCTATTAATAATAAGCAAACGTACTATGCTAATAGTACGCTTCTTTATATGCGCATTAAAGTGCTTTAACTACTATAGGCTAAGCTTATTTGTTGTCTAGCTATTCTTAGAGACCGCAATAACCTAATCGCGGGGCAGAGTATCCTCTTTATACTAAGCTAAGAGGTAGTGCTTACTCTAGAAGATAATAAAGAGTAGGATTGCTTACCTAGTTGCGTTAATGCTCTAAATTACTGTAGCCTACTCCTAATTGCCCTACTGTACTATCTTTAGCTATTCTTAACGCTTAGATAATATAATAACTGCTTAAGCTACTATTATACCTATTATAAAGCCTGTCTTGTTAAAGTTGTACATATCTTTATTAAGAATACTATACTTAGCTTTTATATTCTATACAAGGCTGAACTAGCCTCTAATAATCTTAGGATCTTCGCAGAGGGCTCTCTTATAGTCGTACTTTTAATTAAATTTAACTTAGAGCTGTAGCTAGCGCTGCACAAAGTTGTTTACCTATTACTTACTAACTAGGCCTTAGTAACGCTAAGCTAGCAAAGCATTAGCTATACTCTTTACAGTAGTAAGCTAAAGCAAAGATCTCTGCTTGTTAAAGTTAAGCGCACGCTGTAGAATTATTGCCTCTTCTGTTGCAGTAAGCTTTATAGCAACTAGCTAATAATTACGTTATAATAGTTTTCTAGTAAGTCGTCTTGTAAGTGTACTTTAAGAGACGTTGTAGATTACTGCAGCGCGTTGCGTAGTTAGATTCGCGTCTCCTCTAATAGCCTAGATAGCAAGGTGTATTTAATTCTTATTTAGGAGCTTTTGCACGTTGTTGCGTTAAGGCATCGCGTTAAACAGTAGAGAACTGTCGATTTTGGTAGGGTCTTGGCGAAAGTGGTCTACATGCTTGTATAGCCCACTTGCTTATAAAGTACGTTACTTAATCTACTATATAAATTTATATATATTATCTCTTAACAGAGCTCTAGTGTATACTTAAATAGGTGCAGAAAGTTAGTAGGGTGCGCCGCTTGCTTGCCTGCGCCGCTCGCTTGCTAATTATGTTAATGTCTTTATTTCTCGAGGCAGGCACAAGGTAAAGCAAGGACTAGCTAGGGTACTTCCGTGACTTTGCTTCGCATACCAGCTTTCATACCATGTGTCTGGGCTTCTTGCTCAGTGAATATGTTGAACACATCAGCCTCATCAATCTGTCCTAGGTTTGAAGGCGGAAATGCAAGGTTGACGGCGAGATAGATCAGAAATCCAGTCGCACCGCCGAACAAGAATGACAGATCAAAGAGCTTCGCCGCCCCAAACGTTACACGAATGCTTGGGTTGATGGCGTTGATGAAACCCGGCAATTGAGGTGCCCAAGTCACCACCCACGCGAAGATGGCTCGCCAATTGAAGCCGTGCGTGTACCAATATGGCGCCTGTGGGTCGGCGTTGTAGAGTGCAGATAACTGGAGGCGACGACGTCGCAGAACAAAATAGTCGCAGATCTGAATTCCTAGGATTGGACCAATGATGATGGTGTATGAAGAAACGACATTCAAAAAGACGGATGCACTTGTCAGGAGCTGCCACGGACACGCGCCACAGGCCACCGCCAATGCGAGAAGGGCTCCGCGTCGAATGTTGAGATATCTGGGCGCAAGAGCGGCAAGGTCCATTCCAGTGCTGAATCCGTTTTCGAAAGTATTGACCACTAACTGACAGGCCATCAGACCAAACCCTACGAAGAAGCTGGCAGCACGCGTTTTTGCCAAGTAGTCGTCCATCAGCCATCGTAGGGCTATCTCTGGCGGATTCCAGATCGGCTGTCCGTAAATAGCCTGGGTCGCAGATGCAGTGATGCACCCAAAAAGCGGCATAAGCGTACCAAACAGCAAGATCGACGTCCATTGCCCCGTAACCTGGGCTCCTGGTGTGCGGGCAAAACGCGTAAAGTCCGGTTGGCTCATCAGTCCCACTGCAATGGATCCGATGACAGTCGTGATGGCCTTGAGGATGCCCCATCCAACGTCACTGTTCGGGAGTGGACCCTGCGACAACAGCGGTCCGCCACCACCCGCGCGAGTGACAGCCCAGATCATGATCGCCAAAAGCGTGAAGAACGAATAAATGTTCAGCGCTACAAACACGCGTACAATTCTCTTTCGCTCCAGCCGTGCACAGAGAAACGGCACCGAGAGGAGATTGAAAACAACCCATCCGACGAGCTGTTGCGTGGTGATTTTCGCAGAAAGCGGCAGCGTGTTTTGCATGCGATGAAATGAGGGAAACACGGCGCTGAGCATTGCAGTGATGCAAATGCCGCCCAGATAGGACTGCACGGCGATTCCCACAATCCCGCACATGATGCGCTGGACCATGGGAATGTAGGATCCGCGCATTCCCCACAGCGCGCGCGAATAGACTGGAAATCCAATGTGCCAGTCTGCCCCGATGAAGCCTACTGCGACGGCTACGGCTGCGATTATGAGGCGTCCGATGATGATGGCTAGCATGACCTGCCATACTGACAGACCTAGAGCTACCATGGAGGAGCCCATGGTAAAATTGGTCAAGGAAACGTGCCATGCTAGCCAGAAAGCGATGTACGTCCATGCCGTCCACTGCCGTCGCGAGGGAGGTAGAGGCCGGATGTCATCATTGATCCATCGATCGATCTCTTCGTGCTGCAGCCTAAGATGCCTAGATTGGATTAGTTATGAATAGTTTAGTCGTTTGGAACTCTTGGACATACATGATGATAGGACTTTCCTCTTTTGCTGAACTGTGTAGCGTCGAATGTTGATCTCTTAATATACAATCTCGGTGTCCGAGAAGAGATGTCCGTGGTCGGCTGAAGAGAATCACTAGATGAGTAATTCCGAGCTGAACCGCTAGATGGGTCTAGAAGCTGCGTTTTCTGAAGAAACAAATGCTTATCTTTATGCCAAGATTTCGAGATGGTCTTTACACAAAATTATTGTAGAATTATTTTAGGGCGACATTCGTGTCCAACTTGATATGGTGAGAATAGCAATCGATAAAGATGTGCAAACAGGTAAATGTGATATATTGAGCACTACTCTTATGGCGTAACGCTCCCTGAATTCATAGACATCCGAACGTCTAAGCAGCACAATTGCCCTCTTGGCGGCCTATGAACTCCCACAATCTGCAGCCGTGGATCCGCTTGAACCAGAAGCTCCTGGTAATCTTCTTTTGTTCTCTTTTTTGCATTGAATAGCTGTAGCATGCTGATATCATCTTGCAACAGATCAACCCTTTGCTGTTTCGGAAGCCTAGTATCGTCCCACTCCGGAAGCACATTTTCGGCGATGATAAGGCGCGTTCCTGGTCCGCTATGCTCAAGAGCTGGTACGATTGCTTTCAGAATGCGCACACAATCCGCATCGCCGTTATTGTGCAGGCAGTGTTTGAGAAAGAATGCACCCTCTTTCAGGGGTTTCTGAGGGGTAAAGTAGTCATGGACTTCGAATTGCAACCTGTCGGCCAGCCCAGCACTAGCGACCTGCGCAACGACACTTTCCTTGACAAACACGTCTTGCACTAAAAATTTCAAGTGCTCAAAGCGCTATACGGAGAAAGTGTTAGCGAACATCTCATTGTGAGACAAGCCACGCGACTTACCTCAGCCAAGCACTTGGCGACTTGCCCCTCTCCGCCTCCGACATCCACCACCGTTCCCTTGACCCCATCCCAATCGTATGCGTTCAAGATCTCACCGAGCAACAACGGCTCATGAAGTCCATGTTGGAATCGTGCCAATTTCTTAGGCTGTCTCTCCCAAAAAGAATAACACCCCTCGCCAAATCTGATCTCGAACGCGCTGGTCTTCGCCCCGTTGTCTCCCGGAGCAGCCAGCAGCGCATCGGCCAGGCTTGTTGCAGATGCACCAAAAACCTCGAGGCTCGTACGGGTAAAGGATGCAAAGTGAGGATGCTCTCGCACGAATGCGGAGAAGCGCGTGTGGGCGAAGTCGCCTTCGGATACTTCTTGGAAACAACCTCTGGCTTGAAGAAGGCGCATTACGCGTGTCAATACCGAAGACTCTACGCCAGCCTCACTGGCAAGTAAGGTGCTGGATTTGGAACCATCGAGCGGGATGCGTTGAAAGAGTTCTAGTTCGCATGCGCAGCGGAATACGGCAACGTCGGCACATTCGCCACGGATGTTGGCCCAGTATTCGAGGGGGTGAGAGAGACTGAGTATCGCATTGTTTGCGCTTTCGAGGAACTCATTGCGGAGCAGTTCGTATTCGCGATCGTCGAGTTCGGGCTGGGTTTCCGCCGTTTCCTCCAAGTACTCTTTGACTTTGCTGGTCAGGGTGCGGAGATCCCTCAGCGCTGTAAGAAGGTGTGCGCGTTGTGTCTCCATCGGAACTATCTTTGTAGCGACTTGAATTCTTGTTAGTCTTTTGTTTTAAATTCCTGATTTTATCGTTACTATGACTAGTGAGGTTTGGGGATTGTCGCTTTCCGGTTAGACCGCTGTTGTGTTGGGGATGCGCTAAGCTTTGCGCTCGGCCACCGACGCTGGCATCGCAACATCTTCACACGTAGTTTTGTCTAATCAGATATAAAGTTACTTAGTAACGATTGAGGGATGTTTGGTTAGGATCTTTTGCGAAAATGCCCAATGAAACATTGTCCATCCTCTTGTCTCCATCATGGATCGTGCTTATTATCTCCGTCAGCGGTTCAGTTGTACTGCTGCTATGGCAATATTTCCAGAAACCGGCCCTGGTGCTTGTGCGGGGAGTACCCGTAATGGGTAAGCCAGACGATGCCAGCTTCGAGAAGGCTGTTCGGGATGGTGATGAAACAGTCAGTCACATCTTCTCGATTAAGCACGAATGTGATGCACTAACTGCGAAACAGTACCCGGAGGGTGTCTATCAAATAGCTTTACCGACCATGCCGCATGTGTTCTTTCCACCAAAGGCAATGAAAGAGCTCTATTCATCGACCTCTGCAAGCTTCGCAGCTCATACGGCTGATATCCTTCTGGGAAAGTACACGTACCAGGGCGAGGAGAACGTAGAGCTCAAAGCGGGGATCAGAGCCATGTCCAACAACCTCGACGTGGTGATCAGATCTTTCGAGGCTGATGTGCCTTACGCCTTCGAAACAGTCTTCGGAAATTGCGACGATTGGGTAATTGTGGATCAGATCTGGCCTGCTACCTTCCGACTTGCGGCAATCATGAGCTCCCGGCCATTCCTCGGGAAAGAGCTGAGCCGTGAACCGAAATGGTTCGCCGCCATGACAGACTACGTCCAGAGTCTTAGTAGTGCAGTCGGTAGCTTGAGGCCAGTACCTGCTATTGTTCGATTCTTCTTTGAGTCACGCATTCCACGTATTCGAAATCTTGTGAAGGCGCGCGACCGCATGGAGGATCTAATGCTACCAGTGGTACAAGAGCATCTAGATCGTTACCTCGCGACAGGAAGAGACTCCAAGTCTAGACGAACAGCTGCCATCAGCTCAGATGGTGGTGAGCTCCTAGACTGGATGATTCCAGAGTACCCGAATCCCTCCGCAAAGAAGCTTGCTCGAGACGAAATCACGATCATTCTCGAATCGGTCATGAACATCTCCGGAGGTCTTAGTCACTCACTTTTCAATATTGCAAAATACTCCGAGTACCAGACCCCACTGTGGGAAGAGTATGAGGAGGTGATGCAGACGACGAAAGGACTAAGTAAGGCCGCCCTCTTCAACATGAAGAAGATGGACAGCTTCATGAAAGAGGTACATCGCTTGAACCCCCCGTCCATGAGTAAGTTTATCAATGGTTTGACCGGCATCTTTCTAGACTTACTAAAGATAATAGTGGCTATTATGAGGAAGGTTGTCAATCCGAACGGAATGCAACTCTCAGTGGGTCCCCGCATTCCGTGTGGTACACTATGCGCCGTTAGCGCGGATCGCGTCAACATGTCACCCGAATTCTATCCCGAACCGCATAAGTTTGACGGTTATCGTTTTTATCGCATGCGCCAGCAGCCTGGAGAAGAGTTTCGGCATCAGCTTGTCTCCACTAGCAACGCTGAGATCAATTTTTCGTTCGGTGGCCGAGCTTGCCCGGGCCGCATCTTCTTCTCTGCTTTGGAAAAGGTCGTATTGGCTTATCTGTTGACACATTACGACATCCGCGTTAAACCGGGGCATGAGGAGGTTGAAAGCCGGTATATAGATGGAATTAGGGTTGTGATCGATCCTCGCGCAATCATCCAGATAAAAAAGAAGTGTTGATTACGGAATGTAAAGATTGGAATTAGAAGTATCTTTCGCACATCTACAACTTCTCGTCACATAGTTGTAGTGAGGATAGCGAGTTGGAAGATGGGAGAGCCGCTCGATTTTGTTGTTGATGGTCATAACGAGCATTGTACCAGCGAAAATATTCCCAACCACCAGAGCTGCCAACAATCAATCTTGCTTGACCGAATTGCTTGACTTGATTGCAATATTGCAATTCAATCAAGCCAAGCTGCTCTCATTGAAAACTGCAAGCAATCCAAGCAACAGAGTGAAGATTGATTGACTTGATTAACCAGGTTGTTCCCTAAATAACACAGAGCTATATTATTAGCAACTTGGTAACGTTTTCAATAAATCTATTTAATGCTAGGCTAGTAATCATGCAATACTTCTCTAGTGCTGTAGTTGGCTTACTAAGCGCCAAAAGTGACCACCTAAACTTCGTTCTCTCAGCCACCTCATGTTGAGAAGAGTGAATGTTCCTTCAATACCTCTCACTTGATTGGCAGCCTTACAGTACACAATCTAATTAATCTGCAAGTAATCTGCAATCAATCAACGCCTAAAATGCTATCAATTAACTTAACTCAAGCAAGCTCTTTAAAAAACATCAATCAAGCTAACTTTTGAAGCGCGGATTGATTGAGTTGATTGTTGGCAAGTCTGCCAACCACAAAGAAGACGCAGAAAGTAATATCGAAGACGCGTTACGTATAGACGTTCTGTGTAAAAGTCTTGGAAGGTCCTAGAGGCATCCGCGGGTGATGAATGCAATCTTCCGTAATGACTAAATGAATTGGAGTGAACATGGAACGCCCACGAATTATTAAAGCTAAGATAAAAAATGATGTGTATGGCAGATTGCACACAAATGTAAGTTTTTGATCATCCCATACCGGACTTCCCAGTCTCATTTGGATTCAGAGACTCTCAACGTTCTCTGCAAGCGGATGCGTGCACTTGATGTTACCTGCGAAAGGCTGTGTCGGCCTGCTCTTCTACTTTGACTATCAACAGGTTTCGCATCAATCATCTATCCATGCTCTCTCAGACCTTCTCGATTGCTACGCTTTCAACACTAACATCCGAGCCGATATCCTTATTCTTGGGAGTTCGGAAAAAGACAACAAAGGCGAGGCCCGCGGCTCCAGTGATTCCAAGTAGCAACCAAAAGCTGGCTCGATAACCATTCATCAAGGAACTTACTACAGTTGCATCTTTAGTGTAACTCTTCGCAGTAGCATTGGCCAAGGCAAGTAAAACTGCGCTACCGGTCTGGTAGGCAACCATCAACATAGCTGTGGCTTGACCATGCTGCGCCTCGGGTATGGTAGCAAGAGTACGCTCCTGCGCGCGTACCACTGCAGGTGCATTTCCGAAGAGGTAAAGCAGGGCAAAACAGATAATGTAAGCCCGATGGGCATCTAGCTGCAGTAGGCCCCAGGGGACTAGGAATCCAGCTGTCCACATGTATGCACCGCCGATTTGCACTCGGACTGAGGTGCGAGAGGCGAGGAAATTCCCCAACGCCCCGGAAACAGTTGATGCAACTGCTGCTGGCTGCAACACTGTTAGAGTCTGGTACTCCTCCATTCGAAACAAATAAGTGCCCGAAACTCACCAAGAGATAGAGTGCTGAACGAATCACTGATAGGTGAAGGCAGTTCAAATAGACTTGCGTGACCAGCAGGAGCCAAGTAGCAAAGCCACCCCCAAATATGACAAAGGTCAACAGCATGAGCATCATGTTGCGATCATAAATGAAAGGTTTCGGAAGAATGGGATTGTCGATGCGACGCTCATAAACAGGGAAACTTATTACGAGCAGCGCCCCCAAAATGATGGTGACGAGAATTTCGGGACTGGTCCAGCCACGATTTCCGCCATCATCAATGCCATAGATGAGCATTGGAAGGCCCGTGATGATCAAACCGAGGCCAACTATGTCGAACTTCTTCGTCGGGTCGGCGGCAGGCTTGGGGAACATGGGGACGACGAAAAAGCCAACAATGCAGAGAAAACCGTTCATAGCTAGAACTAGCCAGAATAGTGCACGCCATCCTGCTGGTGATTCTATGCAAGAAAGTTAGAAATGTTTTTGGTACCGCTGAAGCTATTGCGACTGACCGACGAGGAGTGCACCAAGAATCATGCCGGAAATCATGCCTAGAGGTCCACACATAATGAGCAGCGACAGTCCTTTCGTACGCTTTTTCTCATCAGCGAACAGATGAGTGATGATGGGAGGTCCAGTAGCCGTCTAAAGTATCGCAAACAGTATGTTAGCTTCTCTCTAGCCTTCTCTCAACATCATGACACAACTCACGCTCATTGCAGCACCTATGCCACAAAACACCCGCCCAACAATGAGCCCGTATCGGTTCGGCGTTGCAGCACATAGCGCACTCGCCCAGGTCAAAAACCCAGTTCCGAAAAGGAAACCAAAGCGCAGTCCGTACTTGTCGACAATGGCACCAGATATAGGGAGAATGGTGGCGAAAGCGAGGTTGTAGCCAATTAACACCCAGTTGACGTCGAAGGGTGTCATGTCGAGCGACTCCATGATGGCGGAAAGCCCGAAATTGACCATTGTTGACTGGAATGTATCAATGTACATGGCCATACACGCCATTGTCGTGACGGCCCATGACAGGGTTTCCGATCTGGTAGCTTGGTTCTCAGCCCTCAACCACGAGGGCGTTGGGATTGACAACATGGTGTGATTAATAGCGGTGAAACCGAGGGGAAAAAAGCGCTGATATGGCTGGAGAAGTAGAGCAACGGCAAATACAAGAGGGTATAGAAGGTCCGTGTCGCAGTAGAAGTCGCAGAGTTCGAGATTCGACAGCCCCACCGGAGACTTTGGCGGAAACTTTCCGGAGACAAGTTGGAGATAGTCCACTCGAGGGAATAACCTTGAATGACGAAAGGGGAAGCGACGCCTTCCATTGGGAAGCTGCTGAGTCCGCTTAGTAGGGCTAGACCTTTTTGAGGTCGGCTTCCGACCTTTGCGCTTAAGTCAGTTCTCAACGTGCATTGCTCGTGACACTTCTTGTGGAGAACATCGTTCCGAGTTGCATAATATTGCAGATCGTGCGGCTTTCATAGCCCTCCATTAGAGCTGTTCAATGCTTCCGACCATTGAGAGGGAGCTTTAGTCGTAGGCGTATGGCTTTTTCGTAAGACGCTTGGGTACCATAGGCACATCAAGGAGGTAAGGGCCTAACGGCGACAGTGTTGGAGGACAGTGATATAAGTCATAAATATTGACGCAGTTACGGCGCAATTATTTCGTAAAAATTTGGGTAGCGTAGGTGATTTTGATATGTAAAAAAGTGCGGTAGCGAAGACACAAATAGGCGCTTCGATTGTGATACGTTTCCACCTCATATATACACATGAACCGGCAGCACCCTCTCACAATTCACTCTGGGTACGAGCGTGGTTCATCATCGCGCAATAAATAGTAAAGGAGACCGCTTCAAACTTGAAACTTGAACAATTACACATGACCGACAATGGTACCAGACCTTCAAAGAGCCACCATTACATCTTTACGGTAAAACAATAGACACTGGTTCGAAACAAAGAAGAAATGTAAAGAAATCCCAAACGCGATCCAGATGGGCCCGCCTTCAAGCCGAGACAGCCTTCGTCTGCTTCTCCCACATTGACTTGTACCTCCCACCAACCGCCAACAACTGCTCATGCGTCCCTCTCTCAACAATATGGCCCTGGTGCATAACGATGATCTGGTCCGCATCGGTAATAGTCGACAAGCGATGTCTAAAACCCATATTAGTAATTTAGTACACCAAAAGAAAAAGCGCTTTAGACAAAGACTTACGCGATAGCAATAGTAGTCCTCCCTTTACAAGCAGTTTTCAACGAATCCTGGATCAAACGCTCAGTCTGCGAGTCCAGCGAAGCCGTCGCCTCATCCAGCAGCATAATCTGCGGATGCTTGAGAACCGCACGCGCGATAGCAATACGCTGCTTTTCGCCGCCAGAGAGTCGGAGACCCCTTTCGCCAACATTGCTGTTGTAACCATCGGGGAAACTGATAATCTTCTCGTGGATACTGGCGACTTTGCAGGCGGCCTGGACGTCTTCGAAAGATGCGCTGGGGTTCGAATACTTGACGTTGTAGAGGATGGTCTCGTTGAAGAGAATTGTGTCTTGCGGCACGACGCTGAAGTGTGTACGCAGTGTTGCCATGGTGATGTCGCGCACGTCGATGCCATCGATCTGGACGCTTCCTCCATCGACCTCGTAGAAGCGGAAGAGGAGCTTGAGGATAGTCGATTTTCCACTCCCGCTTTCGCCGACGATGGCTGTTGTGGTGCCGGGCTGGACTTCGAAGCTGACATTTGATAATGTGGGTTTCCGCTTATCGTAGGCGAATTCGACGTCGTTCAAGGTTATTCTGCCCGAGCATGTGTTCATGGGCTTTGCGTGCGGGCTGTTCTGGACCTGAGGTGTGATCTTGTACTGCAACACGTAGGTGTTAGCTTTTGTATCGTTCGCGTGGACCATGAAGTCAAAACTACTTACCAGAGCAAGCATGCGCTCGGCATCTACCATGTTGTTTTGCACTTGAGTATAGAAGCTTCCGAAGAAGTTCAACGGTGCCTGTAGTTGAGCCAAGTACGTTAAGATCGTAACAAACATGGCGACCTTGTATATGCCCTCGGAGATCTGAAACGCTGCGAGAAGACATGTGAGGAGAACGCCGACGACGAAAATGAAATTTTGTACGGCGTTTAGTGCATTCAAGGAGAAAAACACAGAGTACTCTGCTTCCTGGAAGTATTTCACTAGGCGTTGGAATTTGGAAAGCTCGAGCGGCAAGGCACTGTTGTGGTGCACGGTCTCGTACGACATGATAGCATCGGTTCTGTGCAGGATGTCAGTGCGGACGATATTGGGAAAAGGGTTGCGGTGGACTTACTTGGCGGCATCCATCTCACGATCCCGTGTCGCAGCTTCGCGTCTTGCTCGGCCACGGTACTTGGCCATGTAGATGGTGATGAAGAGGTAGAACCACATGACAGCAACAACGATGATTGCGTAGAAAGCGTCCAAGAACACGAAGAAGTACACAGCCGCAATAGCGAGATCGAACACCATAGGAAACAGCTGAAACACAAGGCCGTCCAAGAAAGTGTTGATTGCGCTGCCTTTGCTCAGTGCGCTGATGACTTCACCAACGCGCTTGCTCAAATGAAAGTCTAGCGAGAGTTTCATGACGTGCTCGAATGCGGCTACGGTAAGCCGGCGATAGGCCGATTGGCTGATGGGAATCCAGAGTATGGCTCGAAGCGAACCGAGGACACCTTGCTGGCCTTGCAAACTGCGGTACACGACGTACAACATGATATCCTTGAGTGGCAGTTGGCCTTTGCCCAGATGCTCTACTAAGATACCAAGCTGATGCGGCACCATGATGTTGATGGCTCGCTGAGCGATCAGCAGTCCAAAACAGAACACGGCCCATGCTTGTAGGATATGGTCGTCAGAAGGCCTCTTTCATGTAAGTCCGCGCTGACGTCTCGGTCTGGGTGGAAGAAGAGCTTACCAGAGATATGGAATGAGATCACGGAATCCGGCCAGGTAGTCAAAAGCGGATACGGTTTGCGCATCCTTGGACCCTTGTGGAGGGGCCGCTGGTGTCGAACCATAGTGAACGCTTTGTTCTGGACTGAGCAGAGACTCTGTCTCGCTATCGGAATTGGACTCGTCGACTACACGTCTGCTAAAGACGAAGAGTATTGCCATTACGCCCAGAACCACAATTCTCGCGGCTCCCAGTGCCTCGCATGCAATTGAGAAGGCGTTGTGGTGTATATCCGGCGCGTTCCTGGCGCTGATAAAGCATATGAATAGGATGCCTGCCTCGTATGCGATGCTGAGAAGCCATGTCTGGAAATTGGGACGGTTTGGCGAGTAGGGTAGGTCCGGATCTGGAAGGAGTGAACTGCAGACGATCAACAATATCGAGATGATTCCGCCCTAGAAAGAAACTGTTAGCGATTTTTAGGCTTTGCAGGGGTGGGTTGTCTTACCAAGTATGCCTCGCCACTAAAGAGTGGACCAGGAACGTGTTTCAAGGAGCCGTATGCTGCAAGACCCGTATTAACAGCCTGTTCAAACATTCATGTTAGCGGAGGACGGTTTTCAGTTTCAGTTCTATACTCACAAGCAGAACAGCCAAAATACAATGAAGTAAAAGTAAAGACTTGTCCGTCCGCGCTATGCGCCGGCGATTGAAACTTTTGTCGCTAGGCACATCCGTCTTGTACAAGGCATCATAACAATTGGCGACAAGCGACACCAATAGAAACGCAACAGGATACGACCAAAGCACTGCGCTCAGAAATTTTGGCTCCATGATCGGTCGCGGGGTAAAGAACGTGTTGTAAGTCGACAAGGAGAAAAGCTGTGGGGGATCAGAAAGAAAAGAAACAGTAACGAACGACGACATAGATGGGGCCCAGAAGCATGACAGCACCGGAATAGGAATGTATAGTATACGGATAGCAGTACTAGTGGCAATGCAAGGTTGGTGTTGCTTGGTAAGGTGGTCGGGAGTGTGGGGCGTGGCATCATCGGCTTCCGACAATGATCATCGAAAGCCGACCCTGTCACTTCCACAAATCCAGACCACCATCGCGAAGTCACAGTAGCTTTTTTCTCCACAGCGAGAACGTACCGCGTATCACAAACACAGACAAAAGATTCTGGGATAGCGTATATAGAAATCAATCGTATTCCCACATCACTCATGTCGCATAAAGACAAGCACTCTAATTCCCAATCGTCGGCGCAAACTCCAGGATCTTGCGAACAGCCGGACGGCTCAACATGCGATCCGACCACGCCTTGATCCGGGGCCAATCTTCAATCTTGACCTGCATGAACTCGAACATGTACGGCATGGCAAAAGGCAGGTAAGCCAAGTCAGCCACGGTAGGGCGATCCTTTAGCGCAACGTATGTCTGCCCGGGTTCGGATAGGCGCTTTTCCATAATGTCCCATTGCTTCAGGACATTGGCGTACAGCCTAGTGAGTCGGTCTGGTTAGAATCGGGAAAATCGGGTTCCAGATTGGGGAAGGGGGAGGCTAGACACATACTTATCGATAGCCTTTGGCAATTTCTCGTCGTGGACGGCGTAGAAGTACAGCCAGTACTTTGATGTCGCTCTGGAATTTGCCCCGTTAGCTGCACAATGTGGACAAGGGAGGGTGAATATGCGCACCCGAGCCCGGCTGTTTGGTACGCGAGCCATGATAAGATGTTTCCTTTTTCGTACTGCGTCTTTCCATGCCATAGACCTTCTTTGTCGTACGTATCCGCTAGGTACTGCAAACAGGCTGTGCTCTCGAAAACATAAAGGTCTTGCTTTGTTTCTGCGTCTTGGTCGCGGATTGTGGGGACGTAGCGCTCGGGATGCACACTATGGTACCATTCGTCTTTGGTTACCACGACTGAGATGTCGTAATCGATACCAAGCTCCTCGGCTAACATCAACACTTTCATGTAGTTTATGTAAGACGTTTTGGTGGCTACGCGATGCGATTAGCATAGTGATCGTATGGAACTCTTCGAATTGCTGTGTACCTTTGACGACATAGAGGATCGGCTTTCCATCGTAAGGAACGTTGCCTTCCTTGACAGCGGGGAATGTCTTGTCCGTAGAATCCATCTTGTGGGATGATTGTTGATTCGTAACCCTGTTCTTGTTGTGTAGATGCTTTTATGACATGACATAATGCTCCATTCGGCTTCCGACCAAAACAGTGTCACTAGTGGCAGCGTGACCTTGCACAAGTTGAGGTATGAAATGGTTCATAATACTTGTGAAATGTCCCAGAGAATGCTGTATATCCCTTAGAAAAACACGATAGCAAAATGGGCTTCCCACATCTACCGCGATCTCTTCTCAGAGGTCATTATGCTCACACGCTTGTTTTGGCAAGAGGAGTGGGCGAGATGTAGCAGCGCACCTCGCCAAACCCCTGCACCACTCGAGCACTCGGGTGCCGATGAAGGCTGTGAGTAATCGTCTTTCCAGGATTGGTACTGATGCTGAGCTTTATCATTCGCTAGTCTCAAATCCATGACTATGATGCTTTTGTAGCCATCGAAAGCCCATGTCCCCAAACTTTGTTCTCGAACTTTATCTTGCGTTTTATTAACTTCGAACTCTAAATGTTAGTCCACGATATCGTAGGCGGCACCAGTACGCTGGATCCAAAGCATCTAGCTTTAGGACTCAGCGTCACCACCTTAGTTACCATCGCTCTACTCAGAGCCCGTGCTTTCCTTAGCGAAACAATCGTAAAGGTGCTTTCAGTTGTTTGCAACGTACGTAGAAATTATCTACAAAGCTGTGCAAGAAAGAAACTTACAAAACATAGTGGTATCTACACTGGGCGAATCCGATTAAAGACGAGCATGGCAAGAAGAGTTTGCCATCCCTGCCCTACATATGGCCGAATGGCAACGGAGACGTTGCAAAGTTCCTACAGGGTCGCGAAAACGCCGAAGAATGGCATAAGTCGCATGGATCTACTTACAGAATCTGGTCCGGATCAGTGTCCGAGGTGTAAGTTTCCCTCTCCCACCCACATGTGTAATTTACTGATAAGTGCATTCAGTGTTGTCTCGAACCCCAATCATCTGAAGGAGCTCTTCAAAGACTCTGATCAGCATTACAAAGCCGTCAACAATGATTCCGGGTACCTGATGAGCAAGATCCTTGGTCAATGTGTGGGTCTGCTTAGCGGCAAGTCATGGCAGAGCCTGCGCTCCCAAATGGAAGTTCCGTTCACGCATATGGCCATATCGAACGAAGCAGCCGTCATCCGAGAGCAAACCCGAAAGTTCGTTGAGCAACTGCGCAATAGCGGAGATTTTCGCAACGGCGTATTCGATCCGGCCAAGGACATCAGCTTCTACCCTTTTCTCGTTGTAGCCACCGTGTTGTATGGCGACCTTGACGCAGAAGATATTCGATGGCTCAGGAAGATTGCGCCAGTGCGTCAGAAGCTCTTCACCTTTGTTATCAAAGGCGGCATGGCCCGGTTCTCGATTTCCAAGTTCCTTCCCACTACGGCAAACAGACTTCTAGACGAGTTCCAGTGGGAGTGGCTGAGCTTCAACGAATCCGTCTACAAGAAGGCCAAGGATAGGGGAGCAGTGACTCCCATGGTCAAGCTTTGGGAAGACTGCCAAGCGGGCAAGGTTTCTCAGACACAGGTAAGGACAAGTGCATGGCTTATTTGGCCCTGTACCTAACCTTGACAGTTGCTACAAACCCTGGACGAGTCACTTTTCGCAAACCTAGACGTCACAACGGGCGCGATCTCATGGAACTTCATTTATCTCGCGTCGTCGCCCGAAGATCAAGCCAGGCTTTTCGAGGAGGTTGAGAGAGAGGGTGAAGGGGATGATTCTCGGTGGGACGCATACATTGCTAGAGGCGATACATTTCTTGCGGCCTGCATCAACGAATCGTCTCGCCTACGGCCTGTCGCACGTACGTGTATAGCGAAAGTATATTCTGGAATCCTGAATTAACGTCATGTTACAGCCTTCTCGATTCCCCAAGCGCCTCCGTCGGACCGGAAAATTGGCGAGTGGATCATACCCGCGCGGGTAAGTATCCAGCATCACATATGTGTTGTACAGAAGCTGACGGTTGATAGACGATGGTCATTGTTGACACGTATGGGCTGAACATACGCAATCCCTTCTGGGGCGACAAGAGCTCGGAATACATGCCGTCACGGTTCCTGGGTCTCAAGCCAGCCCAGACGCGATATAACATGTGGCGATATGGATTTGGGCCGCGCCAATGCATGGGAAAATTCGTTGCGGACCGCATGCTCCGGAGCATAGTTGCGTCCATTGTCAAGGAGTGGCAGGTGAAGCTCAGGCCACAGGACGCAAACAGCAACTACTCGGTGAATCCGGATGAGTGGATCACCCACCCGGACATTCGACTTGTCTGTACCAAGCGGCAGGGATAATTGGATGTTGATTGAGGTGTATGTAGCGAGATTGGATATGTAGAGGAAACGAAGTTTGGATTCTTCAACGTCGCGCACAACCACGTATACGGGCCATGATTCCAAGAGGAGCTACCCCGCCGCGCCGAGACCCCGACCCCTGCGCAATCACGTGTTCGTGTCCTTCACGATCTTTGTGGACACTTGCCAAACCCAACGCTGTATGATTCACTACAAACACCCAAGCACGAAAACGCTAGCTGAAGAAGCAGCAAGAGCAGCCGCAACAAACAAAACACTGCCGCCAGGATGGGTACTTTGCCATGCACCTAGCAATGGCGCGGAAGCAAGACTACCCAGACCTTCTGCGACGGAAATAGCGGCAACAGCCAGAGCATCATGCTGTCTACGCTGCACGAGATGCGCCTTGACGAATGAAGGAGTTGCCAGACCCAAGGATGCAACAGCTACGACGGGAAACAGCGCCCACGACACGCGCACCATGGCGAGAGCGGTTAAAGCGGCCACCAGCACCGTGAGCGAGACCAGCACAGAGCTGGCATTACGGGCAGGACGAGAAACGAGGGCCGCGACTATGAGATACAGCGACGACGTTCCCGCTGCCACGGACAAAAGAAGGCCATTCTGGGCGGGGGTGAAGGCAAACTGGAGCGTCGCATGCACCATGAGGGCGGGGAACATGTAGGAGATGGCGGCATTGTACAAAAACATGGCGGCACCATGTGCAGCGACTACGCGGTCACTGAACAGGCGCAGTGCCGGCCGGGCGAGGGCGCTCAGCCGCCCGACGGTCGGGCCTTGGTGGCCGTGGCCGTTAACGCCGCCATTCCCGACGGTCCCCTCATCCAGCCTTCCCACCATGGCCAGGTAGACAGCTGCTACACCAAACATGACGAGAGCGACGGCAAAGGAGGTACGGAAATCGGACAGCAGTGCTGCCAGCGCCGGGCTGAGCGACATACCAGCCATGTACAGGGCGAGCGATGCCGACATGAGGCGGCCAACATGGCGCTGATCGCTGCTGCGCGCATACAGCCCGTTCAACACCAGGTGTAGCGTGTTGTCCGTGGCCAGGCCTTCAAGAAGGCGCGCTCCTAACGCGAGTCCGACACTCTTCTGCACCACTATCGTTGCTCGTCAGCCATGTGTCCCGAATCTCGCCGCCTCGCCTCGTTGTCGCTGCCTTACCTCCCGCTCCGAGCACCACCACACTGCCTGCCCTGAGCCCTATCCATACCGCAAGCCCCGCTCGCGTCGGCAGCCGCTCGTATATCCCCACGGCCATGAGTCCGCATACATTCGCAAGCGTCGTCGCCACAGCCACCGCCGACGCATACGCTGCCTTTTCACCATCCGCGCACTGGGACGCGTCCTTGCAGAGGATGTGTGCGTAAGCGTAGACGGTCGAGGCTGCAGTTGCCGCCATTGCACACGACGCAAAAAAGGACACGGGCATGGCCTTGTAGCCTGCCGGGGTTCCTTTGGGTGCCCATAGAGGCGCGTTGTCGTCGGCTGCCTCTACTTCGCGGCTGTCTGGGCGGATGAGCGCGTCTGTTTCCGAGTCTAGGGCCATTTCGTTCCTTGGCTGTGCGTTGTTTCGTCTGTTGCTCTCACGACATGATATCACACCTTGGTCAAAAAGACGCTCTTGTAGCATAAGCGTCGTCTCAGCTCGGTCACCGACTTGGCAAGACGGACATTCATTCTATTGCTTTGTTCCGACTTCTACCCCTGCCCTGTCGCACCAGCTCAGTGTCCAATGCTAGGCGCTGACGACATGACTCTCTGTACCGCCGGCCGTGCCAGCATCAACTCTCCCCAACGTTTTATGTTTGGCCAGTTGTTGACATCCACCCCGAAGAAGTTAAACATCCACGGCATAGAAAAGGGAAAATACGAAATGTCTGCCAGGGTCGGCCGGTCCGGCAAGGCGATGTATGTTTGCCCTGGTGAAGCTAACCGTACCTCCAACATGTCCCATGCTTTCAACGTGTTTGAGTGCAGTCTACATGCCGTCAGCCAGTCTGGAAATGGAGCACCGGTACGACACCTTACTTTGCACATGTCTTGGGCATAGGCTCGGGGTTCTGCCTAGTGGGATATCCTCGCATGAAGTAGAGCCAGTATTTGGCCGTCGCACTAGGAGGGTCAGAGAAAGTGAAGGTCTGTTACAACATTTCTCAGACATACCCAAGCCCGGCTGTCTGAAAAGCCGTCCATGAGAGGACCTGTGCCTTCTCCCATGCCGTTCTGCCCGCCCATTCCCCGTGAATATCGTACTTTGCAGTCAGATACTGCAGGCACGCTGTTCCTTCAAAGACAATAATCTTCTCTCCAGTCACGTCGTCCCGGTCTTTCAGGGATGGAACCATGCGCTCCGGATGTACCGCATAGAACCACTCATCACGGGTATCGATGACGGACAGTCGGTATGGGAAGCCAAGCTCTTCGGCAAGAATCAAGGGCTTGATATAATTAATGTAGGATGTCTGATCGGCTTCCAGTCGGTCAAGTTAGCTACACTACGTGGCTTGTGCTTTGGGGCCCCGCACCTTTGATGACGTATAAGATGGTTCTGCCGTCGTGTTCCACGTCCCCCATCACCACCTCTCCGTTAGGTCGAGAAGCTACTGACATATTTGTTGTGTATTTGCAAAAGTCAAAACTGTCTTTTTCAACGAGGGTACGCATGATCACTTTGTACTTGTGCCACTACTGATGCAATTTAGCCTAGTCATGCTCGGTTTCCGACCAAAGCCCAGAGTGCAAACACTACGTTCCGAATACATCATTTGGGCAGCATGTGTACCTCCTACATGCAGAGTTACCGATTCCGCAGCCTGAAAGAAACATACACATCAATGCTTGGCATGATTTGTCCCCCGATCGGCCAATCCACGGGCTTGCCTGTGCGTTTAGGCGTAAAGCGCATCTCGTAGTCGACCAAGAACTTTGCAAAGACAATCTTGGAAGTTTCGGTGGCTAAGAACCTTCCAGGGCATGTTTGGGTGCCGTAACCGAATCTGCATTCACTCGGTTAGCCGTGTCAGGCAGGACTTCTGGGGGCTGTCTTACGGGAGATAGGTACGGCTTTGCGTCACCGATTTGACCTTGACCGAGTTCGTTTCCGCGTCATAGAATCGGTATCCATCAAACTCCAACGGGCGCTCATAGTACTCTTCGTCTCGTTGGATGGCCAGAGTGGGAAACCCGATTAGCGTACCCGCCTTGACTACTTCGCCATTCGACAATGGAATATCCTGGTCGACCTTTCGTTGCAGTGTAACTTGAATCATCGTCAGCATACTGCTTGTCGGACTTCATTCACATCCCGGGTAAAACTTACGGGCGGTAGGAGGACTCAACCTCAACGTCTCTCGCAAAAAGCTATCCAACTTCGGCATCCTGGCGCAGGCATCCTTATTCCAACCCCCGCATTCGCGCACCGCCTTCTCGATCTCCTCCCTCAGCGGCTCCATGTACTGTGGATGTCCCAGCACCGAAAGAATAAGCTGACACACGACGACGGAGAACAAGCCCGCAGCCGCAAACGTCAAGAAGAGCTCTTGGTTCACAATTCTGGCGTACGACGCCTCCGTGTCGTCCTTTGCGCTCTTCAACAGTCCATCCAGCATGGCAAAATTCTTGCTCTCGTATCCTGCCGCTTGTCGCCTGCGCAGCTCTGGGTACACAAACTTTTGTACCTCGCGCTGGTGCGCCCGGATTTGCCGCCCGCCTTTCGAAACCCACCAAAAGGGCACGCGCAGGAAGGCGGGCATGGCGAAGAGAGGCGCGTTCCAGGAAGTCACTTCCTCTGTGTATCCGCGTGCGTGATGGATGTAGTCCTTGTTGGCGGCGAGCTCGGGGCCCACCATTACGGCGGCGGTTACGCGATGGATAATGTCGAGGGTGGCGTCCCAAAGCATTACGTTTCTCCAGCCTGATACCTCGTTAGTCTTGTTCTTATCTTGTTCGTATGAAGGACAGGCGTCGGATGAATGACTGCTTACCCCTGGTGTTCTCGGGTGGTGCAAGACGCTCAGCGATGGCGATATCGGTCTGCTCCGCAATGTAATCTGTCATACTCGCTACAGCCAACGTCAGCCTTTCTCGTCCGAAATCTTAGTCCTTGAGATGAGATTCCATCTTACGGAGGCTGAAATTCAGCTGCGATTTCACCGCTTTGACGTAGTCTCTCTGGCACACCATGTCGCCGACGTGCAGGTTCCACATGAAGTGCTGTTTTGCGACGTAAGCTTTTACAATCGGAAGAAATTACGAGAGGTTTTCCCTTCTTACTTCATCAACTACCTTGAGAAAGGAAAGTTTCTGCAGCGGCTGATTCTTGATATCGTCGAAGAACTTGGGTGGCAAAATATGGATCAGCTCGTCGTTGATCCACGTCGCCCATATCTTATCCTGCTTGGTGTACTACTCGCAACCTTTTAGTTCATGTGAATAGTCCGGATTAACGTGTGACGTACCCGCTTGTAGCCATCAAAAACAACATTGTTCGGATCCAGGTTGAACTTGGTCATCATGGTCCGGCGGAGCCACCACCCGCAGTCACCCAAGATCACATGTTTACTTCCCCGCCGCTCGATGCGGTCGTAGAACAGGCCCAATCCAAAAAGAAAGAGTGCGACTGTGCCTAGTCCGGTCGCATATGGACGCCATGCTTCGAAGGATCCGGGGAAATCGCCCTTGGTCAATGGGTTGGAGGGAGAGATGGTTTCCGCTTGCGTGCCGTTGTTGGACCATGAGATAGCCTCCATGGTGTCTCTGGCTCACTATTCCTTCGTTCCACCGGAATGAGCAGGTTGATTGTTACAGGAACCATTGCAAAGCTGGAGTATATGTGGGGGGCTAACTTGATTGGCTTGTCGTAGATCGGGTACCGAGTGACTGCCGCTCCAAGCCGGTAATCCAAGCTCTTCACCACCACATCCTTGTACTAGACCACCAACACAGAGTATTAGCTTATTTCAGGAAAAAATATCTGTGATCGCTTACATGAGCACGTCATCTGACAAACATCTGAATGAATCGGTCTCAAGCGGCGGGGTGATCCCGCATCCGTCACGTCTCATGGACACGGACACCGACCCATGTTGACGCTTTATATGTACACGACTCAAGCTTCCAAGAACAGAGAAAAACACCCCCATACTCCACAAACCCATCAACCAGCAGATCGCCAAGAGGTTTCCCACGTGACAAAACAAATGGCCGCCCTACCCAGCTACGAAGCAGAAATGCTCTACATCGAGCCCTGGCAAGGCAAGAAGGAAGCGCCGTACTACCGCACTAACCCCGATCCGGGCTTCGAAACCAAAAATTACGACTGGATACCATACAAAGTGGACGTGCAAGATTGTCGGTCCTGCAGAGATGACTTCACTCTCGACGACCACGCCTTCACCTTCGTCGACGACGCCGCCGGCGCAGCGCCTGAGCTCCTGCAAGCGATCCGCGACATCAACGTCGACAAGATCGAGAAGGAGTACTATCCAGCGGTGGAAGCCCTGGTCAAGCGCAAGACGGGTGCGGACAAGGTTATCATCTTCAACCATTCGATTCGCAAGCGCGATCCCGCTGAGGGTTTCTTTGGGAGCCCGGGGAAGCAACAGCCTGGGCGGACGGTACGTGGATGCGTGTTTGGGTTTACGATGGGGGGGTTTATGCTAATGTTTGGTGGTGGTGGGTTAGGTGCATTGTGATCAGTATGTTTGATCTTGTTGTGAACTCGACACGCGCGTTACGATGGATAAGTACTAATACAACGGCAAAATGACTAGAACACCCAAAGGCGCTATCCGGCGCGCACGCCAGTACGCCGGAGAAGAGGCTGAGGAGCTTCTCAAAGGCCGTTTTAGAATTATAAAGTATGTATATCCCATCCCACTCATTGCACAGGCCCCACACAGAAACAACGCAGTATCATCTCAACTAATCTCCTTTCCTCTCTACAGCGTCTGGCGCCCCATCAACGGCCCCGTACAAGACTGGCCCCTCGCAACCATGGACGGCAAATCGCTCCGCGAAGAAAACCTGCACGCGACCGATCTCTGGAAGAACAGGTGGGAGGAACTGGGGTCGACGTACAATATCAGCCACGGTGAAGGCCAGAAGTGGTATTATCTGGGGGAGCAACGCACGGATGAGGCGCTGTTGATTAAGATCTATGATAGTAAGGCGGATGTGGCTGCGAAACGTGAGTTTTTTTCTCTTCCTTTTGGGGGCCGGGAATATGAGAGGGGAGGGTGTGGGTGTGGGTGTGTTGATGATGAGATGCTGATGTTTTTAATGATGCAGTTTGCCCGCATTGTGCATTTGAGCACCCGGAGACAAAAGAGGGGGCGCCGAGGCGCGAGAGTATCGAGGTGCGATGTTTGGTGTTTGGCGGGAACTGAGTACGTGACTGGAGAGGTTTCGTTGGTTCTTGATGGTTACCTACTCTTAAGGGTTGGTTGTTGAACTAGGTTGTTTATCGATGTTTGAGCAAAGATGCGTAGCGTGAATGATGATTTTCTGATGGTATCTTGTTAATTCTGGGATGCTGGCACTTTTGACTAAGTACACATGCGTTTGTGTACATGGATTGACACTGGCAGTGATGGTTAGAAAAGGTCCAACCCCTAGGACGCTTTATGATCTGGCTTGAACGACTACAACCCGAGATGTGAAAATATCGAACCGTCTTGTGCAGGGATAAAAATCATGGCACCTCGCGCTCGTTCCCATGTGGATCATTTCTAGCGTATGGTTCTGGTCCCAAAACACTAGACTAATTGGGCTTCGCCCTCTGACTAAACGGCCGTCTTACACATTAGATGTCACAATACAATTGATAACGTAAACCACCACCGAGCTGGTCAAAAATGCTTGGCAGCACTACTCTCACAACAAACGCGACATGAATCAATAACAGAATGTGCAGCCTTCTAGTCAAGAGGGCAGAATATTGCTTGCGCTTTCTGCCTATAACTGCCGCCAATTTAAAAGCCTCCGACTCGCTGCTGGCGCGTTTGGGGTGCCTCCTTCAACGTTGACTAGCCGATACAACGGAATTCCATTTCGACCTAGTACACGACCTAACAGCCACAAGCTCGCTGCGACCGAAGAGCAGACGATCGTTCAATATATCCTCGACCTTAATTCGCGAGGATTCGCGCCCTGGCTGTGCGAGGTAGCAAATGTGGCCGATAAAATGCTAGCTGTACGCAGTAGTAAGCTAGTTAGCAAGCACTAGGCTAAGCGCTTTGTAACGCGTTTAGCTAAGCTTAAAATAGCCTTTAATTAAGTAAAGAATAGGTAAAGAATACTATAGGAAAATCTAGAAATAATTAGCGCGTAGTCTATACTAGTAGAGAACACTAAAGCTAAGTATAGCGTCTATAATAATAATATATATAACTTTAATAAGACTAGCTTTTAGATAAGTATTATTAGCTTAATAAAAGTTATTATAGGCATAAAGAGATACGCTTAACTAGAGCTAGTTTAGCTAAGTAATTATAAGTAAGTTATAGTTATCTAAAGTATCTACGCTACTAGGTATATAACTCTACTCTTTATTATCTTTAAAAAATATATTTATATTTTAGTATAGTATAAAAAAGTAAATATACTACGTAATTAGAAGCTTTTAGTATTAGAGAATAGCTAAATAAATAATATACTTAGTCTAAAGTAGTTAAAGTACTTTAATACGTATATAAAGACGTATAAAGTAAAAATATATAGACTATCTATTCTAAATTGCTATAAGAGCTACTTTAACTAGAGTTCTAAGAACTACTATTTTAAAAATAAAATTCTAACTCTTTATATACTACTTTACTTATTATATATTCTCTAGCTACTTAATATAGTTTACTTTTTACTACTAAAGTGTAAGTATGTTTAGTATATTAGAGACTTAGCGCGCTAACGCGTCTTCTATATTAATAAAAAAGGCTTTCTTTCTACCTTTAAGAACGCGTTTTTTAATATATTTATAAAGAAAAACTACTATAAAGTCTTTAAAGTATTAGAGATAGTCTCTATTAACATGTAAGTAGTGTTAGATTACCTTAAAGTATAGTTACGTACTCTACTAGAATCTTTTCTTCTAGAAACGCTGTAGTAGTTAAAGACTTTAAGCAATACGCATAAGTTTAGATCTTAGTTAAAGTTTGTACGCTAGTCTTTTACTCGCTTGCCTATTATAGCCTAGGCTAGCTTCTTCTAGCTTATAAAAGGTAGTAAGCTAATACTACACTAAAACGTGCTTTAAGCTGCTTAGATCTATAAGCTTAAAGAGCAATTAGCAGTAATAACTAAGCGCAAAACGCGTAAGCACAAGCGGATCTAGCACAGTAGTACTATAGAGTATAGAATTGCAGCAGCACAGGTAGCCGCTAAGGCGTCCGCAGCGCCTTAGCGATCTAAGAAGGCTCGTAGTAGTAGTAATTAAGAACTAGCCTAACCAGCTCTACGGCGCTGTAGGAACTGCGGCGGGACAGGGCACAATGCGCGAACGTGCAAAAAAGATACAGAGTTATCTTCTAAATCAGATTTAAGTACGACGTACGCAGGCTCTTTGTTTAATAGCGATTAAATTGAAGATGCGTGACATGAGTTAGGGCTGCCAAGCATTTTTGACCAGCTCGGTGGGTTGACCAGCTCGGTGGTGGTTTACGTTAGGCGAAATTTGTTTCAGGAATCCTGGTGAAGTTCCAAGGTAGGGGAGTTGACTACATTTGAATTTGCGTTTGGCACATCTCGCTAAGACAAAAAGCGCTCCACAAGTGGTCCCCATACTGTCCCTGGAAAGGGTGATGTCTCTCCCATCCTCAACTTCAACAGCACATCTGCTGCCCACGGCAACGACGCCCAAAATGACCATGTAACCCATACATATCCCACCAAACGTTTCCACATGCGCTTTTCCTGGCCACCTCCCCAAACGTTTCTCCAGAAGTAGATTACAAAATCCTCGGTCGTGATAACCGCGGCCTGCCAGATGAAGTATAGAAGCAGACCTCGCCAGCGATCCCATTCGGGGACGTTGGCTGGACACGGCATCAAGGTCATTGAAGCCGCATGCATAACGCCGGAGATGGCGAAGGAAATCCAGAGCTGAGTGTAGGAAGAAGTGTTGGTTCCGCGCTTAATACCCAAAGCGTCGACGAGAGAGCCAGTGAGGCCAGAAAGCGGCTTTTCACAAGATGTTAGTATCGAGTATGAAGCGGGATGATGGATGTACACTCACCTTTCGAATCATCTGGTGCCAGAATTTGCCCCAGAACGAGCGCACTGTCGTCGCTTCAGCCAGGCGGCCGAAAAGAGGGGGCCAGTCCTGCGAGCCACTAGTCAGATGATGCTCCAATTGCATTGTAAAAAAACAGGACCAGTAATAAAGGTGTCTCAGCGAGAGATGATTACTCACTTCAGGTTTGTTGATGCGCAAGCCAACACAGACAACAGAAGCGAGGATGTACTGCATATTGATAAAAAAGTACGGCCCCACACCAAAAACCAGGGCTTTCCCAAACCCCGCTTTCCAATCCATATCTCTTATCGTGAGTTCCATACTATTCAAGCCAGGCGAAGCAAAGAATAACTTCATACTCAGTTGCGCTACTAAATCGCCCATGAGCATAAATAACCCCAACTCCACGACCTGCCATGCTAAGAACCTCACCGTATCGCCCCGCTTAGTAGACCAAAACCTCGTCCTCGGCACATTCTTGACCTGGAAATTATATCTGATGCCTCGCAGATTGAGGATCAAAGAGACGGCCCACTTTATCTTGCGCCATCCGAACGCCGGCCATGTCAACGCAACACCAGGCGCTTTGTCGATAGGCCAAAGCGCAGATTCAGGGTTCGGTGTGTGATTGAGGAATTTCTCAATCGTGGCGAGCCAGTGAGGCCAGGCGAGGGCGGCGAAGTTGGCGGCACCCGGGTTGTGTGTCCATGAACTTTGGTGGGCCCATAGAGCGAGGGCTACGAGGGTGGCTATAGCGAGCGGTCTGCGCAAGGGAAAAGGCGGGGAAGATAGGAACACGATCTGTGCGACAACCAAGAGCAGGTGCGGGGTCGAGGCACCGCGTGTGGGCTTGAACGGCATAGCTTGCGTGTCCATCGCTGGGAGCGTGATGTTCTTGGATTAGGAAAGAAATGAGTTTATTCGGAAATTCCAGATCGGATATGCATGGAAGAAATGGGTTGCGTTCCTACATGCGCGCGTAATCAGGTGTATAAGCCATGATTGGGAAAAGGTAGGTCGCCGACTTGAGGATATGCGTGGTTTAGTCGTGTCGGTCGCCGACTCGGAGTTACTATGCCACTATTTCAAAAGGTAGACGATGGGCAATTCCAATTGGCAAGAAACAACAAAATGGAAGGCGTAGGAAATGCCACAACGCTGCTGGAGATCGAGCCCGAGACGAAGCACTTAGTATCGCGGATCCTGCCGATTGTTATACCTGTCTTCATCGCCATCCTTCTCGTGTCTTCCCGAAGATCATCCTATGACGCCGCTCGGGTTGGAAAATCAAGATGGTGGTCGCTCATCCCAGGTCAGGTGCCTATGCGATTCGAGATGGATAGATGGGCTGAACGTGGATACCGAAAGGCGGGTGCCTCTATTTCCGCTATGCTTGATTGGGCTAACTAGCGGGACAGTTCCACAAAGCGCTGGGAAAGCCGTTCATCAGCAAAGTCTTTGGATGGGACTACCTACTAATGCCCCCTCGGTACCTCGATGATGTTCGCAAGGCAGATGAGGACGATCTCAGCTTTGCGCAATGCTTCAGTGAGGCGTTCAACGTCCACGTTTCTGCCGGCGACGTGTATGCGTCGAAAATGATGCCTGATGCTGTCAAGCAGTACCTCAATCCTCAATTGCGTACGTCCGCAGTTGCATAGTTCCTTTGCCACATTGTCTAACAGACTACAGCATCGCTGGTGGAAACTATGAAGACTGAGACCGATCACATCCTTGCGGCCGAGCTTAATGTCGGAGACGAATGGAAAACAGTCCAGGTTTTCTCCACGTTTACGGAAATGGCGCACCGCATTACTTGTCGTATATTACTTGGCGAAGACCTTGCGCGCGACAAAGTCTTCATTGAGGAATCGCAACTTTTCAACCGGTCTCTTTTCATCAGCGCCATTCTGGTCAACGGTATCGCACTCGGTCCATTCAGAAATCTGGTAGCATGGCTCACTGCGATCAAACATCGAACGCACTTGTCGCGCTGCATCAAGTATCTGATTCTCCAAATCGAAAAGGTGCGGGCCCAGTCTAAAGACTACAACAACGCGGTAAAGTGGATGCTGGAGCTTGCAGAGGGAGACGAAGTGGAAAGGAATCCAGACCGGATGGCGAAGCAATTGATGCACCTCATGTTCGCTGGAAGCAGCGCTCCTGGAGGGCTCGTGGTGCAACTGGTTTACCAAATCTTGATGAGTCCGGAATACCTTGAGCCATTGAGAGCGGAGATTTCTCGCACACTAGAAGAGACTGGCGGATTTACGGCCAGCTTCGTATCCCGGACGCCGCTCATGGAAAGTTTTGTGCGCGAAACGATGCGTCTATATCCCACTGGCGTTGGTGAGTGCCTCATTGAGCTTATTCATCCGCCATGTTTAGTACTGACCTTACATCAGTGTCCGTAACGCGAGCTGTTAGGAACAAGCCCTTCAGCTTCTCTGACGGCTACACGCTTCCCGCAGGATCTCATTTTGCCTTCCCCATCCAAGCCATTCAACGCGACCCCGAGAATTACCAAGATCCGCTCACCTTCCGCGGATTCAGGTTTGCAACTCAGACGGATGAAAAAGAAGTCAATGCATCCACCGTCGACAAAACCTTTCTTACGTAAGCTTCCATATTGCGAGAAGAAACTAAGAAAACCCATCACTAACGCGCGGCAGGTTTGGTTATGGTCGACATGCCTGTCCAGGACGATTTTATACGGTCAGATTAGTTAAGCTTATCTTCGCAAAGCTGCTTCACGAGTACGACATGGAGTGGGAGGGTGTTGTAAAGACGCGGCCTCCGAATATGTGCATAGAGGTGCAGAACGGACCTAATATGGACGCCAAGATACGGATGAGACGCAGGGTCTCCGGAATCGTCTCCTGAGCAGGCTCGTCTTTCTCTTCTTATTCTTCATCATGAACACCCCGCTGAAGCTACATAGATGTCCTTCGAATTGTTTAAATGAAAAGAATTCTGCGTCCCGTTTGGCCGGCATGCGCAATGACGTGAACACCTTGATGGACTTGTTTTTGCGAAACACCCTTGCCAAACACCGGCGACCGAGAAGGTTTGCCTAGCCGGTAGATGAGGATCATCGTATTAAAACGTATGGGCCTTCTCAACGAATGCGAATCATATCATACCATCTCTTTTTTGAAAGGATGGAGAAGAACGAGCAGTCGGTGTCGCACATGGCGCGAGAGAAAACGCAATCGACACGAACCAAAGCTATCTTCGCGGCTTTGCTAGCGCTTCTCCTCACTGGACTGGCCGCTGTAAAGAGTTGCCGCTCGCATCCTAGCAATCTCGTGGATCGGGTATTAAAAGAAGTTCCGTTGATAGGTGAGCAATGATTCTCTCTTTGCAAGCGGATCTGCTAAAAGATGTTATCGTGCAGATGGACATAACGACTTTCCCATCTTCATCCGGGCTTTTTACTACAACCACATATACGGGTCCAATTTTAGCGACACGGCGGATCTAATCGGCCAAGTCGACTTTCCGAAATTGGAACGAAGCGGCCTAGGGGCCCAATTCTGGAGCGCCTATGTCGAATGTCCACGTGACGGGGGCGATGTCAACGACCAGGGAACATACTACGAGTCGATGCACCAAACGCTGCAGCAGATGGACCTCATCAACCGACTCATTGATGCCTACCCAGAACGATTGCAGCGCGCATCATCAGCCGCGGAGGTATGGTCGCAATTCGCAAAGTCGAAAGCATCCAGTATATCCAGTCTGATGGGCGTTGAGGGCTTGCACCAGATAGCCAACAGCGGTTCCTTTCTGCGGCTGATACATCAAATGGGCGCGCGCTACGTGACCCTAACACATAGCTGTCATAATGCTTATGCCGACAGCTGTAGTCCATCCGAACCATTGAACGGCGGCCTATCAGATGCAGGACGCGACGTGGTACTCGAGATGAACAGGCTGGGCCTCATGGTCGATCTGTCGCACACCTCAGTGGCCACGCAACGCGATGCGTTCAACGCGTCGCGCGCACCTGTCGTCTACACTCATTCCTCAGCCCGCGCACTCTGCGATCATCCGCGCAATGTAGCTGATGAGGAATTGTGGGCGCTCAAGGCAAAACGCGGGATTATCATGGTCAACTTCTTCCCCGGTTTCGTCACGTGCAGTGTCCAAGCTGCGCTCAAAGACGTCGCCGACCACATCATCTACCTAGGCGAGTTGATCGGTTTCGAGCACGTCGGTATCGGCGCGGATTTCGACGGCATGGGCTTCGATAGTGGCCCAGCTGGACTTGAAGATGTTGGCACATATCCAGCATTGATCGAGGAGCTGTTGCGCAGAGGCGTGTCGGTTGCCGACGTGTGTGGGGTGGCGGGGGCCAATATCCTGCGCGTATTAGCCGAGGTTGAACAGGTGGCGCGGGACCTAGATAATCAGCAGCCCTTGGAGGATCGTGTAAAATCTATCTTTTGAACATAATTTAACGTAACTGTTGAGAATATGTAGGTTCAGTCCAGGTTGGTGGAAGGAAGGGCCGTGGTACCTACTGTGTAAGGGAGGCACGGCTGACTGTAGCGTCCTCGTTACTGTTTACACGTACGAGGAACAAGAGTATACACGACAGTCAATACAATACGTTGCAGCCACCCCGCCTTGTCCCTCCTCCTACTCGGTTATCCATAGTAGTTATACTACTAGAGGGACCTTGTTTTAATAGTAACGTAGTTTATAAACGAGCCGCTCTTGCAAGCGAGCCGCCTACCCTACTATTATAGTTTTTATAAAAGTGCGACCTCTCTGTATAGTTAATGTTAGTTATCTAAGCTAAAACTCCGTCTAAGCTACTTAAACATTATAACATTAAAAACACTCTATTTTAAACGCGTTATAACTCTACTACTATAAATCTAATTTAAGAAGTAATTATAGAAATTAATTCTACTAATACTCTAGCTTTATTATTATACTACGAAGTTATAAAAAAGTTTAATACTAACTAAACAACACTATTATATTACTACTAAGGTGTTTAGAGCTTAAATAAAGATATAGAATACGTCTAGTAGTTACTTTACTTATAATAAAAGTAGAAATTAGTAAAGTATATAAAAAGATATATAGTAAGAGGCTTACTACCTACGCGTAAAATAATATAAAATTTTAGTAGCGTAGTAGTAAAATAGAAAGTCTTCTAAAGCTAAGTTACTTACTTTCTTAACTACTACGCTAATAAAAGTATAGCTAAATAGAGTGTAAGAATTAACTATAATTATTACTAAGCTAATAGTAGGTATAAGTATAAGCTATACTTTAATTTACTATACTTAAAGATATAAGAGTATTATATTAAAGAGCGTAATATATATAATATAAATAAGAAAAGCTTTTTTATTAGATAGATAGTTTAGTTAAAAAGAATCTTTAGTAAGGCTTCTTTAGCTTAAAAAGAGCGCACTATAGTAATCTAAGAAAGTAATAAAGAATAGATAATACTATTAGCTTATATATATACTTCTAGAGAAGTATTACTACCTACTCTTATATACTAAAGCTTATCTAGTATTTAATTAAGCTATATTAATAATAATATAGTAAAGTAATACTAGGTTTTTATCTTCTATTTACTTTTAGAATAGATAAATAATAATCTTAGACTTATCTAGCTTACCTAGATATTTAATTACTATACTAAAGAGAAAGCGCGCTATTAATAGCGTTTTCTACTACTTAATAGCTATAGTAGCTATATAATAGCTAATTTTATTAACTTTTATAACGCTAATTAAATTCTTTTAGTACTCTTTTCTCTCTATTTAATCTATAGCTTATAGCTACTAAATATAGTACTTTTCTTACTACTTTTATAAAGCTATATAATATAACTTAACTATAATATATAGTAATCGCGAGGCCTTATAAGTGTTTCAAAATATAACTTCTATAGTAACTTTCTAGTAGTGTAGAGCTCTATAATAAAGTAAAAGCTTATATTAAAAAGTTTTTTAGCTATAGATATATAGCTATAGAATACTAACGTAGTTCTAAAACGCTTTAAAAACTATCTATAATAATAAGACATAGACTTAGAAATTAGAGAGAAGAGTAATAGTAGTAGTTAGAGATAGCTATAAAAATTATTTAACTCTACTATTAAGAATAAAATAAAAATTAAGGCTAAATAGCTTATAAAAGCTATCTACTTACTATAGATTAATAATAAAATATATTACTATAATAAAAATAGTTTTATAAACGCGCTTACTACTAAAAAGAAGTAGTAGAATAGTTATATAATTCTATTAATAAGTAATAATAAGACTAAGAGTAGTAACGCTATTTTCTTAAGTTCTAACTATTATTATAAAGCCTATAAGCGTAAGATAGTAAGATAGTATAAAGCTAAGAAACTATAACTTTAAAAAACTTATAATAGAGATCTAAAAGTAGTAGCTACCTTATATAAAAAGTAGTAAGTAAAGAAAATAAAAGTAGCTTACGCGTATATAAAAGAGAAGTAAGATTAAACTAAAAAATAGTAGGCTTAAGAACTAGCTACGCGTTAAGTACTTAAAAAGTAATAATATAATACTATAACTACTTAAAAATCTTATAATATAAATAATAAGTTTAAGTAAAAAGTCTTATATAAAGAGAGTAAAAATTTAGTAAAGCGTTATTATATTATAGATATAGTAAGCTATATTAAGGCTAGTTCTTTAGTAGTGTTTTCTCTATCTAAAATTAGTCTACGTAGCCGTAAGATTAAAATACTAGTAAAATTTAAGTAGTATAATAGTTGCGTAGTAGCTTATATATTAGTACTTTAGAAAATCTTATAATATTAGCTATTATATAGCGCTATATAGCTTTATTTCTAAAATTATCTTATTTTAGTATTTTAGCTTAAATAAAGTTTTAGCTTAAATAACTAATATTAACTATAATATATCTATACGCGTAATACGTAGAGAACACTATATCTACTACTTTAAAAACTAGGCTATTAAGCTACGTATATAAGCTATTATTATAAGAATTTATAAAGAGAAAGTAATTAGATACTTATAATTAACTTATACTATCTATATTTTAATAGAAGATTAACGTTATAGCTACGTAATATAAGCTTTAGTAGAGAAGCTAAAAACTTTTATTAAACTTAAGCACTAGCGCAAGTAGCTCTAACGCGTTTTTAATACTTATTACTTAATAAAATAGCTACTAAAGCTCTTTTCTTTCTCTTTTAGAGTAGTTATATAGCTTTAGTAGTATCTTTCTTTTTCTTCTAGCGCGCGTGCTTAGCTACTTTCTTAGCTTACTTAAGCTCTTTTATCTTCTTAACTTTCTACCTCTCTATACACTTTTTCTTAAGCTTAACTTAATACTATAGTTAAGTCTTTTTATACTACTTCTTAGTCTATACTTTTTAAAGTTTCTTCTCTATCTTATCTTACTCTTATACTACTTCTTTAGCTTAAGCCTTACGTAGCTTATAAAAAAACTAGTAGACTATACTACTATAATACTTCTAGCACTATTAAAGATTAAGAGCTTTACTTTTTTTTTTATACTTCTTTTTATATTAAAAAGCTTTTTTTAAACTCTCTACTTTATACTTTATAAGCTTATTTTAAATAGAAAGATAGTAAATACTTAAGTATAGTTTTCTTACCTTATACTAATAGCTATTAGTAATAGTAGCTTAAACTAATTAATCTATCTTTCTCTAATTATACTTAGAAAGCTTTAATAATAAGCTTCTTTTAGCTTCTAGTATACTAGTAAATCTATAAAGAATAATATTAGTATCTATTAGCTAGATTCTAGTAGCTTTAAAGATTTTTAATATAAGGCTCTCTATAAAGAAGAGTATTTAAGCGCTCTAGAAAAGTAGAAAAAAGTTCTCTTTCTTAATTAAAATAAAGCCTTAAGCTTTATAAAGATAGTTAGTAAGCTTATTAGAGTAGGCTTAAGAAAGTAGCTTAAATAGTACTATATTAAATAGCTAGAGCGTATAAGTTAAATATAGAGAAAGAATTATAAGAAGAATTCTATAGTAATTATAATAGTTAATAAACTTTATTATAATATAAGATTTATAGCTATTAAGAATAAGTAATTACTATCTCTCTAATTACTACTTTGTATAGTAATTAAATACCTACTCTAGCTAAGCTAGATCTATGTTATTATTTAACTAGTCTATTAAAGATAATAAAATAAAGATTCTATATTCTTCTATTTTAATATTCTCTACCTAACTTAATTATATAGCTTCTTTTTTAGCTACGTAGATAAAGCTTAGAAGTAGTAAGCTTCTATTAGTATAGTAGTAGACTAGAACTATTAGAAACTCGCGTAATCTATTCTAGAGAGATACTTAAACTTCTTTCTTCTTCTATTAATACCTACTAAAAACTTTCTTACTTCTATCTATTAAGCTAATTAAAAAGCCTTTTTTATTTATATTATATATATCTTAAGCTTTAAGATAGTATTTAGTAATCTTTTAATATAGTAACTTAAAGTAGAGTTTATACTTTAACTTAGAATTAGCTAAGTAGCGCGTATAATCTATAGCGCTAGTCTACTTTAAAATAAGATAGATTTTATATTAATTAATAAAGTAAGTAGCCTAGCTCTTACTAAGCTACTAATAAGCTACTTCTAATAAAATATTTCTAACTATTTTTTATATAAAAGAAATATCTTACTTTATAAGCTTTTTAATATATTTTATAAGCTCTAGCTTTTATTATAGATTAAGTTTCTACTAGTTAAAGTTTTTATCTCTTTCTAAGCTTATCTAGCTCTAGTATCTTTAGGTTAACGTAGATCTTATAATACTATACTTAGTAGTAATTTTAGTATATAAGAACTTTTCTTCTAGCTTTAGATTTTTAATATCTTTAATTATAGCTTAAATTAGGTCTATATTAGTAGAGTTTACGCGTATTAAAAGTAAAGAAATTTAATATATTTTAGTATTCTCTACGTATTACGCGAATCTACGTATTATACGTATAGATATATTACTTTAAATTAAGTAAACTACTTATAAGTACTTACTTATTTACTTAGTTAGTTATATATTAAAGTAAGTAAGTAGCTCTAATATAAATTTATAAGTAAGCTAAGTAATAAACTTATACTTACTTAGATACTTAATAGGTATTTAATAAGATAGATATAAGAGTTATAGAGTAAGGTTTTAAATAAAAGCTTAGTATTTCTCTAATAGAAAGACTTTACGTAATATTTTTACGTAATCTTATTAATAAGAAATTACTTTATCTTACTTTAGATACTTCTATGTTAGCTAGATAGCTTCTAGCTACTCTAATATACTTACTAATTAAGTAAGCTTTAAGTAAGTAAGTAGCTACTCTATTCTAGCTAATTAAGTAAGCTATAAGTAAGTAGGCCTTATCTAATTTAGTAAGTAAACTAAGTAAAGAGTAAAATACTTACTT